ACCCAAAACTGTACTGAACCGAATTTATGTGAACCGTTACTAACCCGACCCATTATCAAGCCAAACCGTAACAACCGGAAACTGAAAAACAACCCGAACCAATTACGTCTGAACCCGATAGTAATAACTCGACCCAATTTAAACCGAAAACCGTTTAAACCCAGCAAAAATCTGATAAACCTGAACCGATCCAACCCGTAACCCGTTGTGACCGAACCATTTATAACCATTATAACCCGTAACCCGTTATGACCGAACCATTTCCAACCCGTAACCCGTTGAGACCGAGACCCGTAACCCGTTGAAATCGAACCGTTTACCACCGGTAACCTGTTATGACTGAGTCGTTTACAACCCGTAACTCAATATGTTTAGGTCTGATGCGTTTCAACCCACTACTCGATAAACCCAACTTATTTATGACTTAACTTGGTCATAACATGACCCGTTCCTACCCATTATCTGATTAACTCGACTCGATAATGATCGGACTCGATTTTAACCCAATATGATTTGGGCTGAAACCAGCTTCAAATTGGGTAAACCTGTTTTCAAACCGACCAAATTCAATCCAAACCGATTATGACCTGAACCGATAATAACTGAAACCCCGATTTCACCCGATCTGTTTTGAACCGAAACCCATTTTCAAAACGACCCGGTTTAACCCAAACTGATTATGACCTGAACCGATTACAATTAGAACCCGAACTATTTTTAACCGAAACCCACTTTGAACTGGCTAAACCCGTTTTCAAACCGACCCGGTTCAACCCAAATTGATTATGACCCGAACCAACTACAACCCGACCCAATTAGGACCCGACCCGAATATAAACCGCAATTTAAAAAAACCAAACCGAACTGACCCGATGATTTTCAAAACCGACCCAAACCGATCCGCTACTCATTTCAACCCGTTATAAACCGACCCGTTATAACCCGAAACTGATAAACCCAACCCAAACCCGAACTATTTACCCGAATTGACACCCCTAGTTGTATGGTAGATGAGCGGGAAAAAATGTTTAGAGACTAATAAAACAATAACAAAAGACCACGGCCAAGTCATGATTATTCCCATTCCATTGACTATTTTTAATTGAAAACTAGATTAAAATCACGTGCAATGCACGGTTCTGAAATATTTTTGACAATAATATTACAAAATATAAAGTATATAAAAGATTTCAGAAATATTTTATTTAGGTTTATATGGAATATGATTGTCAAATTGGAAAGAAGATATCATAAGGTACAAGTAGTTTACTTAAAGATTTGGAAACAAAAAAAAAAAAAAAAAAAAAAAGGCGGAAAAAATTTTCACACGGTAATGACAAGTGTCATGCAAGGATTTGCTTTTAGTATAGGTTAATAGATTGATGCATTATCAATTTACTTTAACTAGATTTTAAGCTCCGAACAACATATCTTCACTTATTTACTTTTTAAAAAAAAAATCCAAATTGTCATAGTTGAGTGGTTAAGATTTTAATATTATAAACTAAACTCATAAGAATAGTATGCGAACATTTATACCCTAAAAATATTTGTTCACATAGATTCAATCATTAATGCTACCCAACAATTAAAGTTGTGATATAAGGTCAAATCATAAAAACTTCTGAATATGGCTAGTTATGGCGCTTGCATCCGCATTAGCCGCCCTAGTTATTTAATAAATTAGAGTAGCTTAAAAAATTAAGCTTCAATTAAATAAATCTGACCATCCTAACAAAGTCATTAATTAGTTATAATAATCTAACAATAATAATTATTGAATATTACCGGCTTCAAAGAAGAAGAGCAACTAGCAATAGCAATGATATTGAACACATGTGGAAGAGTGGACTTTGATTGTATTATAACAAGTGACATCGTTATAAGGCGGATTTTTTCACAATTACCACCTATAATTGTTGCTATTTTAGCAATTACCACCTACAGGTTTTTTTTTTTTAATTTTATCACCTACTATTTTTTAAAACATCAAAACTTCCCACCTACTTCGTTCTCAACTCAAAAACTTCAATTCGTGAAATAATTAGTGAACTGTTAAACATCGCCCGCAAATTCCTACATAAAGCCCACAAAATAAGAGTGAAATGACACTTTTGCCCTCATACTAAAAAACACACAATTTCTCTCTCTACTCTCTACTTCCACTTTCTCTCTCTAAATTATTTCCAGAGCTATGTCGAGGCGGCCCGGCAAGGAAGTGGCGGCACCGGCGGTGGGCGGAAGGCGGTTTGCCGGCCAGAAGGTAAATTTTTTAATTTTTGTAATTTTTTTTTAAAAAAAAAAACCTCCGGCGACGGTGGGGCGCCAAGGGGAGACGCCAACACCACGGCGGAGGCGCCTAGGCAAGGCGCCCTTACGGTGGTGGCGGCGCCAAGCCCAGACGCCACCACCACGGCTGTGGCGCCTAGCCTCTGCGCCGCCGCCATGGCAGTGGCGTCTGGGCTTGGCGCCGCCACCACCGTATGGGCGCCTTGCCTAGGCGCCTCCGCCGTGGTTTTTTTTTTAAATTTTTTTTTTGTTTTTTTTTTAATTTTAAATTTTATTTTCGATTTTTTTTTTTTTTTTAAAAAATTTGTTTTTCTTTTTTTTAAATTGTATGTTCCCTTTTTTTTTTATCTTTTTTTTTTTAAATTTTGTTTTTTTATTTGTTTTAATTTTATATTTTTTATGTTTATAATTTTATTTCCGTGACTTGTTTATTTGCTTTTGTGTTTATTTTCGACTTTTTTTAATTTGTTTTAGTTATTATGTTTCGTTATTTACTTGGAGTTAGGCATCGCAATTTAGACCTGGTGCGGGGAAGAGTATTGACGTCGTGAGGAGTACGATCTACTCAATGGAGAGCTCGGGGCCCAGACACGTTAGATCCCGTGGTATTTCGGCCTCGGCCCGCAGAGAACGGGTGCACTGTTCTGCGGACGATCAAGATGATGATGATGATGATGAGGAGGAGGAGGAGGAGGTCGAGGAGGAGGAGGTCGAGGACGAGGATGATGCAGATGAGGATGTCGACGATCAGAGTGGACCATATGATGATTACGGTCCATTCAGTCAGAGACTTGATGATACGTATGAGACGCATAGGGTAGATGTGCGTAAGGGTCGAGATGGTAGGTTTGTTAGTAGATCTGGCACATCATCTGCGTCCACTGTGTCTGCGGGTAGCAGAAAACGGTCGAGGGCCGTTAATGATTCTTGGATGGTGAGGGGTGAGGTGGCCGGGGGACCTATAGACGGAAGTGTGATTCCTAGCTTTTTAGGACACATCGCTACCCGTATTTGGGAGGACCAGGAGAGGGCTTTGGATACAGGCATTTTGAAATGCCAAACCCGGGAAAAGACTTGTAGGTTTTTGTGTAGCTGGGCTGATGCTTGGCCGGAGGAGAGCGAGATGGTCGGGCGATTGAGGGCCACTAGAGTGAGTCACCTTCCTGCCACCATGCACGATAGGATTGACTGGACGCTGATCACGGCTTTCGTTGAGCGATGGCAGCCGGATACGAACTCGTTCCACCTTCCGTTCGGTGAGATGACGATCATGTTGCATGACGTCGAGGCCATCCTTGGGATTCCCGTGGAGGGAAACCGAGCATCTGTCGTCACTGATGCGGATCAGGCAGATTTACTAGCGGAGCTGTTGGCGGTGGATAGGGCTGCGCTGTACACATCGGCACTTGGTGTGTGGGATCACGGCGGCGTTAAGATCGCAGCCGTCTTGCAGCGATGTTTGCACCCTACGGCACGTAGGACGCAGGACACACAGCTGGCTGCATATGTTTTTCTTCTTTTCGGGTGTACCTTGTTTCCGGATAAGAGCGGGAACAAGCTCAGGCCACGCGACATAGTTGACGCGTGTGAGCCCGACAGAGTAGGCCAGTTTTCTTGGGGGTCGGCTACGCTGGCGTATCTGTATCGCCAGTTAGGATTCTCGAGCCGGGCTGATGCAGCAGGTATCACTGGATGTCTGACGTTGTTACAGACCTGGATATACGAGTATTTTCCTGCGTTTCGACCACACCGCGACCCGGTTCCCATTGGTGATGGCCAGCCACGTGCCTGTGCGTGGAGTCCGCGTGTCGAGAAGAAGTCCGTTGACCGCCTGCGCTCCATACGGTTATCGCTTGACAGGATGTCCCCCTTAGAGGTACAGTGATTAAATTATTTCTACTTTTACAATCTGATGCTTTATTTTATGACTGTTACTGATTTTAAATAATGTGCAGGTGAACTGGATGCCTTTCGGCCAGAACCCTAGTAATAGGGTACCCAGGACCCTCTACACTGGACTGATTCAGTATCGCGAGATCGTAGAGGCGTACATGCCGCAGCGCTGTCTTCGCCAGCTTGGATTTGTCCAAGTTGTCCCACCTCCACCGGCATGGCCCAGTAAGGCGGTACGATCTGCGTCGTCGAAGGAGTACGTCGTCCAATGGCCGTCAAACATGATATCTATGTGGGAGCAGTTTCCGATGGTTGCCCGCCTATGGACGGCGGAGCTGCAGCGGCCGCCAAGTGGGGTGACTGCCATGTGTGACCAGCACTACATGGAATGGTACATCCGGCACTCGCACCCGAGGTTGATCAAAGACATCGACGACGCAGATGATGACGATGTGCCACCTGCCACTGCCTCTTATGCGGTACGTCTCATCTTTTATTTGTTGTTCTCTTATTTTAATATATATATGTATAATACGTCGTTTCATGTTTTTTGTTTTGTGTAGTGGATGGGCAAGATTATGCAGTTGGGACACCGACTTTTTGAGGAAAGGGACTGCATGACGAGTGCATCAGGCAGAGCTGTTATTGACGATCTGGAACGGACCCTTGAGCAGTGGCAGTGGGCGTCACAGAGGGATTACTGATATTTGAAATTAGACATTATCTTTTTAGTTTGTAATATTTGACATTATTGTTCTTAGTTTTTAAAATTCAATATTATCATTTTATTTTGTAATATTTGAAATTATTGTTGTTAGTTTTTAAAATGAAACATTATCTTTTAAAAATGAACACATAGAAATGACATAGTATTGACAATACAAGGCCTCATAGTAAAAGGTAGGTGTACATCAACAAAAACTACATGGCAATTAAATTGTTCCACTGTTGCACGCGAGCATGGTACAAAGCATCCCAACCCTCCACGCTTGCTCTACGAATTTCATACCACTTCGGTATGATATTTGGGACCGGAAAATCGGGTGACATGTCTAATCGGATAAAATGTCTGTATGACGGCCCAAGAAATCCAATAACAACGTCCCTTACCGGTCTGGTGACGGTCTCGCGCGAACACCAGGGCAGAACCGTTGTACATGGATAATAGGCTCGACTATGTAAACCAAGGCCGAAATGCATGACTGCACACTTGTAGATGTTTGCAACGGCAAAGAGATCAAGTGGCGCATCGAACCAATGATTTTGACCGCAAGGTCCCCCTCCCCACCGGATACGCTGCAGAGACCTATCCAAGTCCTCGCCGTACACATGGCCATACACATCTCGGTTTGATGCGATTTCACTGTACATCAACTGCCGCACTAAACCGTAGTTGTCTTCACCCATTTGAAACACATCCGCCACAACCCGAAATCCGCAGTTACCATCTGCAATGACATCATTCCACCCGTCCAAGAATGGCATCATGATATTAGGGATCCTGTCCTTATATGGAAAATGTTCAATGTCCATTCTCCCTGTTACACACATCAATAAACACAATAAACAAGTCAACAGTAAACTAATCAAACAGTCAACAAAAGAAAGGCAAGTCGAATGTCTTACCGGTGCCGGGCATATTCACCGACGACGATGATTGGCTGCCACTTGATGAGGATGTACGACCACGGCCACGGCCACGGCCACGACCGCGAATGTACTCAAACGCACTCCTGTTCCGCCGTGGTTGTCGACCCCTAGGTCGCTCGACCCCTTCCGGTTCCTCGGTATCCAAACACGATGTATTGAACATGTCATGAAGTATGTGTGTAGCACTACGAATGATCGAAGGGTGACTGGAGGACACTTGGTCAAACATCATCTGAAACTGCTCCAACTCCTCCTGTTCACGGTGAACCGTATGCGGAACAGCATGCTCTCCGATAACGAGCGTCCGCCAGAATGGATGAACCTGATCGACATGTAACGACGCCCTGTCTTGCGTAATTACGCGGTGAATGGTGCATGCACAAGGTAATCCATGAGTCATTGATATAGCACATCCGCACCGAATAGCCACTTCATCGCCCAACTCCCTCATCCTGGTATACTCGCTCAGAATCAACCCCAAACAGTGGTGTGACACACGACCGTGGAGAATCTTAAATATGAAATGGCCATACAACATGCCATGTCGTCGTCTGGAGTCCTCGAGATAGTTCTTGATGCCGTTCCTCTGAGTATCAATAGCCTTGTTTATTCTCTCGAACAGTGTATCCAGAGCAGCCGTGGAAGAATCAATCCAGTCCTTCAAAGCTCTATGAGCGCTCTCGACTCTGCATGTCGTAGTGTTCCCAAAATGAAGAACTTGGTTCGTCCAATATTTGACAAACTTTTCCCTCTGAGGTACCCACTGATGCATCACATAGTCTACGATTGGCGGGCACCACTTGTACGCATCCTTTAAGTTTTCCAAGGCTCGATCGTACTCTGCCTCCGTGGTAGCTTGCAGGATCTTCCGCCACTTACCATTTACCAATCTCTCTGCTGAATCTAAGTTCTTGTTGAAAAGGTTGTAGGCTTTGACTTTCACGCAGTTGTTGATGTGCCATGTGCACAGTAAATGGCTCGACTCCGGAAACAGCTCCGCTATAGGGGCAAAAAGACCTCCCTCACAATCACTTACGATGGCCGATGGCTGTACATTTGGGCCGATGTAGTTTCTCAACTTTTCCAACACCCAACGGTAACTCGCAGCCGTCTCATCCTTCATGACTGCATAACCAATCAGAAAGTTCTGGTTCGTTGGAGCCATCCCAACCATCTCAACCAGTGGGAACTTGTACTTGTTTGTCTTGTACGTTGAATCGATCAAAATCACAGATGGCCAAGACGAAATCATATCAGCACAATCAGGATGGACAAGGAACAAATGAGTTACCTCCGATGTGTCTTCGTCAGATTCAAACCAGTAAAGGTAACCACGTGCTTGTGCCTGGTGCAGAAGCTGCTGTATAGGGTTCCTTCCCTCTGACCGTTCAAACCTCAATTTCTGTCTGACGTTGTAGATGTGTCTTCGGTTTGGCTGGTCTTCGGGGAATTTCTCTAACACAGACGCTAATATTTTAGCGGGCTTCACTTGAGCATCACTCATTTCTTTTACAACTAGTTTCGCAGCTGGACTTAGGCCGCTTAACTGCCGATGCCCCACTTTGTATGCTATCAGCTCATGGTTGTGATATCCCCATTTGTCGTAACCCTTCACTTCCCAACCGTCACGCCTTTGATGTTGTCGAACCTTAACTCGGAACTGACACCCACAACCTTTCCGCTTTGAGTCAAACCGAATCGCTTTACTGAAATCTCGTTCTTCTCTTTTGCGATAACGGTCGCATCTCAAAATGCGATCCATTCTACCATCCCGTTGAGATTTATGAGTTGCTACTACTAAACAAAAGCCTGATCTAATTGCAACCTGTTTTGCCCAATCAATCGCTTGTTGAGCATCTTCGAACAGGCCATCATGTACAAAAATCCCACTGTAATCATTTCCGTCTCCACCATAATCCTGTAACAATAACATATAACGTATAAATATAATTACATTAAGATTAAATTAACAAAAACAAACAAAAAAAAAAAAAAGGGGATTAAATTAAAAAATAAAATAAATAAAAAAAAAAAAAAAAAAAAAAAAAATTATTCCCCTACTGGCGCCTGGCCAGGACGCCGGAGCCACGGCCGGGGCGCCTGGTCAGGACGCCGCCGCCATGGTGGCGGCGTGGTGGCCAGGCGCCTTGGCCGTGGCTGCGGCGTTCTGGCCACGCGCCACTACTATGGTCGAGGCTTCTCAACCAGGCGCCGTGACCACGGTGGCGGCGTCCTGGCTAGGCGCCACAACCACGGCATGGCCTTTTGGCTAGGCGCCAGCCACCATTTCGTCCTTACGATGCGTTACGAACCTCGTTTTCCGATGACGACGGCGATTCTCCGGTGATCCTCGGCGATCCGGTGCTGCTCCACATTTTTTTAGTGCGAAAAATTTATCTTCCGTTAAAATTATAAAAAGGGCAAATTTGTCAAAAAATTATAAAATGTGGGCTTTATGTAGAGATTTGCGGGCGATGAATAACAAGTCCCAATAATTAACATGAATATGTAATTTAATTTGAAGTTTTTTCTCAATTTTGAGAGGAGAACAATATAGGGGAATGAGAAATCGAAAGCGAAAGAAAGAAAAGAAGGGAAATAGGGTAAGAAGGTAGTTAGTGGGCTCCACATGACATCACACTTCAGTTTGGAGCCAATTAGGTGGGAAGTTTTGATATTTTAAAAAATAGTAGGTGGTAAAATTCAAAAAAAAAAAAAAAAAAAAAAAAAAAAAAAACTGTAGGTGGTAATTCCTAAACCAGCAACTATTGTAGGTGGTAAGTGGTAAAAATTCTAAGACGTACGACGTTTTGTTTTGAAGGCTATAAAAAGAGATTCAAATTAGCACCAAAAGAAAACAAATTAAAAGACACATATCATATAATCAAATAAAGATGAATACAAAGAAATGTATTGAGGTTCTCTTGCTGCTTACTATGGCCATCATTTTTATGATGGCCTATGGTGCGGCTGCCCAGAGCGTACCATTGTCGTGCTCAGCAGCCGGAGAAGCTTGTGATGTTCTACCAAATAATTAGTGTTGTTCCGGCTCAACCTGCAACCGCTACTTTAGCGGTACATGTGTGTCGTCGTAGATCAACCTGCTGGATACTGCACCACCAAGCTTGCGATCATACATGCATGTAGCCCTGCATGCTGAGTTTGTCTATTAAAATAAATAAGCTACTTTTGTAGCCCTACTTTATCATAAAAGAAGATCTTGTATGTAGTTTTGAACCATTAAAAACGTTTATGAATTAATAGTACAAGCACGATTACGAGCATCTTCTAATGGAATAAAATATATGAATTAGAAGCCTTATCTTCTCGACAACTAATTGATCATCATGATTTTATACTAGAATCATAAGTATATATATACTCCCTCCAATCCGTTTTATAATAATCGTAACACTTTAACTAACACACATGTCAATTCATAACTTTGACCGTTAATATTTGAAATTATATATTAATAGAAGGCTAATATAATGAAAATATATAGAATGACTAATCCAAAAATATATTACATAACAACATAGGTTTTTTATATATTGGTAAAAAGAATAATAAAAATAAGCACATGAATAGTGCAAAAGCCAAATTTTGATTATTACAAAACGAAGGCAGTATATACTTTAATACATGGATTAATAAGCACTTAATTACTTATATTTTTTAAAATCAATTATATTACGTAGTATTTGCTTATACTTATCGAAGTAAATCAACTAATATATACAAGACAGATTAAATATTATTATAAAATAAATTTTGTTTTTCAATAATTTTATTATTGTCTTTGTTTTCAATATATATCATTGTACATTACAACATATTTGTCAATCATTAATAACTACTGGTTGAACATACTTGAATCACATCAACAATGAACGTATATGATTTTTCTTACAAAAATAACCTCCAAAAAGACGAGGAAAATTATTCAAAATCATACAATTCATAAGCTAAGCTAAATATATAGATTCATAGGTTAGATGAAAAGCTAATACAACTAAATAAATAGCTAGATTAAAACAAATTAAAAAATAACAAAAATATGAACTTTTCTATCCAACAATTGTTCAATGTAAAAACCTAAGTCATTGTCCGAGCCACACACTAGTTCCATGTATCCAACAATTATTCAAAGTAAAACCTAAGCCACTCCCCGGGCCACGCACTAGTTCTATGTATATGTATTAAAAGCAATTACATGACAAAAATGCTCTGCCCCTTGTACCCACCAGGATATATAAATAGTGGTCCAAACACACTCAATTGCGCGATAAATCCACAAGTTACTCCATCTCTCCGAAACTTCACTTTCTTGTCAGTTTTTTTTTTTCTTTTTTTTGACAGAATTACTGTCTTGTCTGTTCAGAACATGGCCAGCAGCAGAACTAATTACTGAGGTACTGTGCAAAGTAAGCCATGGCCAGGATTATGCTCAACAGGATACAGTGTTGCGCCTTTGACATATTTTTGGTGCTCAAGAGCTGCCTTCCGGAGGGTTGCTTTAGGCCTCCGATCGATTTGCTGCTTCTTTATTATGGAACATTGACTTAGTGGATCGGTCGAGCCAGCTCCAACTCTCCTGTAAAGTATTGAAACTGTTATGTGGGAGAAAACTTCTCAATATAAGCATCAAGTAACATAAGCATATCCATATGCTTCATTTACTCTAAAATTAATTTCAAGGGTGACATCAAATAATACGCAGATATACCCAAGGAACAAGCTTACATCTAAATCTTCGTGCAGAAAAGAAGAGGCAAATTCCTTCAAGATTACTTACGCCAATATCTTCTCAGATGCAATCCTTGCAGCAGCAATAATGCTAGAGCTGGGAAGCCACTTCACAACACGATTTGGGTCAGAACGCATGGGAGAATGAATTTTGATCAGCTACAAAATGAAAAAACAAAAATGTCAAGGATTGTTCTTTTTCTTATAGTCGACAAAAGAAAGTCATTTCTTATTATCTTAGCTGGCCTAAATTACAAATACTAGCCAAACAAAGATGCAGTGTTTGAATAGCATAGTTCACATTTCAATAGCTGAGAAAATATAGCACAATTGTATTTTCCACATGACAAAAAGGCTTGTCATCAGATTGGATGTAAACAATATAATTTAGGTAACTTTCATGTTAAGGGAGATAAAAGTGGCTAATGCTCTGTTGTCTGATAGATACAGTCTTTAGAATGAAAGAAAGCAAATGAAACGCAGAAAAAAATAAATAAATAAATTGCACGTGACACTCACACCCAAGCACTCCATCATCTGGTAGTACGCTCGACCATGTAAAGGAGTATGACCTCCACGGGATTCAGAAAAATACCTAGTCCTGAGATTGTCAACAGTTGTCAATCAGAACAAGAGCTAATACACTTTCATTACTGATTTATGGAGCAAAATGGAAGCTCATAATCATGACAGCATTATTCAGTATTACCATTCTTCATAACCCGGATCAACAGTGAAGCCATAGATATCCACTGTGTCACATATAGAAAGTGCAAACTCCAGCGCTTTAAGTCCCGTTCCTTTAGCAGATGAACCAAAGGATGTACCTAACATGAGATATACAGGATTGAGAATAGGAATTTCCTGCAAAAGGCAGGTAAAACAAATTTAGTACAATAAAGTAGGTGTAGATAGCTCAGGGACAGCAAGAACACACTACCAGTGATAGTTGATCAAGGAAACGGAAAAATCGCAGATATCATGAGCATTTTTAAATCAATTTGAGTTTGTTATAAACAGTCCTGCTACTATTATTATAAAACACACCCCCTTTTACTTGTCCAAATTCACAATTTCCAAAAATAAAAATGAAGGGAAAAGCCAGAGAGTATACATTTCCCAAGTATGTATAATTAGACTGAAAGAGATGGATGTTGGCTCAAATTACAACTGACTAAAGGAAAAAGCACTGCTCTTAAACCAAGGGGAAAATAAAAGAAATAAGGGAATGAATACAAACCCGGATCATTTTGCTCATTATGTCATGAATAGTTGTTTTAACTATCAAGGCCTCCTTTCCAGCATCTGCAAGATGATCTTATCAGATACTCTAAAGCATATTGATTAAACTTCAAAGAAGTCAAGTAAAGTTTGTACCATACAGCTCAGCAACTTTATCTAGAGCTTTTGCAGACCCTCTATTCAGAAGACGGAATGTACTCTTTGAGCCTACATATTCAGAATAGTTCTGTTGCATATCCAAGAAACCAATAATTAGAAGTGAATCATTGCATATCAAGTACATTTTATAGAAGCTTTAAGACCTGAATAGGTGCACCATTCTGTCGGAAAACAGCATCAAAAGAGTCTATCTCTTGGCCAAACTTGGTTTTCAGAAGATCTGCAGAATTCCCTACCACAGCACAATGGTGAAACTGCTTCGGATAATAAGGAGGTGTAAGAGGAAGAACCAGAGAGAGTTTCTCCATGCAAAGGGCCTTGTTTAGGCAATTATTTCTGCAACTCAAAAAAATTCATGTTGGACTGGCGGTTTTACAGAGAGGCTACCAGGCAATTCAGGTATTACATGACACAAATTGAGTAAAACGAACATTTGATATATTCCCTTCTCCTGTCCTGAACCCCCCAAACCCCCCCCCCCACGATAGGCAGATCTGTCTTGCTTATACTCCATTCAAGAGACAATGTCCATACTTGAGACATTAGCAATTAATCAGTAAAAGTTTGTTTAGATAAAGAATGGGCAAGGTAAAGAAGGCGAGGAAGGGAGGAGAAGAATGATGAGTTTTCCTTCCTAATCTCTCCATTGTTAGAGAAATCAATTTCTTACAATTTAATTCCTCTACTTTTCTCCCCTCCAATTCGCTTCCTTCCTCATTTGTTATACAAATGAAAGATACTCCATCCCTCCTCTAATTCCCTTCCTTTCCCTCCATTTCCTTCAATCCAAACAAAGGGTAAGGCAATATATCTTCTGTGATATACTTAGCAATAATAAGTACATCAAGATGGCATCTCTTATTATGCGTAAGAAAAACTTACAGCTGGATTCCCTTGTTGATCCTTTTCCATGCATAATCCTCCCAGCCATTAGGCAGAGCATCAATATACTCCTTTGTCAAGACTGTTGTACTATTTCTAACCTGAGAAATTCAGCTCACTAAATAACAGATCAATCAAGAGCATCGCATTAAATCATGACTGAAAGTTCTCAACAAAACGATCAATAAAATGATTCATAAACAAGATTGTGAACATTTTTTTTTTTTTCTTTTTTCCCTTTCTTTCTCCTCCGTGTAACAGGGAAACAATATAATATTGAAGATTTTGAATGACAACTTCTAACTCAAAATTGTGCATAAAACTCTTCTTTACCTCCTTACTGTTTAAAGAATAAATGATACATGAAAAAGTCAGCTAACCTGTTCCCAGGTCGCCACAGCTTCACAAAGATTGAATTCATGGGACAAGCCTTCAGCCTCTCCTGTTTTAGGGTCATTCTGTACAAAATTATAGGCATCTTAGCAGCAAGTCTTAGAACAGAATTATAACATGGGGAAGATGATGTTGACATAAAACCAATTTTCAGCCCTATAAAGCAACTAAATAGAATTACCCATTTGGAGACAGTTTCATCAGGAAATTTCATTGTAACTTTGCAATTATATTTTTCAAACACAGCTCTCAAACCCAAGCCATTTGCACTCTGCAGCAATAAAGATCAGACACAAAATTTATTATGAGAAATTAACAATTGAAGGCATCAATTCTTTAGAGTCTTAAACATAGCAAAGTAGGCCATGGTGGTCCATTTGAACAAGGTTTATTTTCATTAAGACAACTTGGAAGTGCTTTACATGTGCAGGAATTCAACCTTAAGGGTCTACAAAAAACATTAACCCCATCTTTCAGTCAACAAGACAAACTCGCATAGAAGAATAGTGTACCACACAAAAGAAAAGTTGTATAAAGTTTGTGTTATAACGGATGCAAGAAAGAAAAGCGAAATCAACAAGAAATTCACACATTTACTTGGCTCACCATGGGGAGGGGGGGAAGCAAAAAATTTGGGTACCCTGAATCAGAACCGAAACCTAATCAGGTTTTGGTTCCGAAAGCAAGTTTTGGTTTCGAGTAATTAAATTGCTCACTTGTTGCAACAGGTTTCGGTTTCGGTTCTGATTCTGGTTCGGTACGCGGTTAATATAGGTTCCGGTTCCCAATTAAGCTCAATTAATAAAAGCCCAATATATATATATATATATATATATATACTTCCTCCACCTTTTTTTTTTACTTGCAACAATTTACTCTATCCGTGTTTTTTAAGTATTACACTTTAACCAAACACGCATGTTAAGACACAACTTTGCCATTAAAATATCTAATTACATGTTAATAAAACCATAAAAAATAAAAAAATAAAAATAAAAATAAACAAAAAAAAATTGATATTACGAAATTATACATTATGACGAATCTAACAATATATTATACAATAACATTTGTTTTTTATACTCCCTCTGTATTTGATTACAAATCTAGAATAATCAACAAATTACACAGATTTAATCAACATAATCCGATCAATAAAATGATTGCCAAAGACTCTATATGAGATAGTTAGATTACAAGATTGTTCCCAAAACATAACAGACCTGAAGGGAAACTAATAGCTTCGAATAGTTAGCAGCAAATCCAAATAACGTTAGAAATTACTCCAGATTTGAACATTCATTAGATGTACCTCTAAGGTACCACATAGCTTGCCAATGCTCCTTCCTAGCGTATGGAAAGACAGACTTAGTGCAAAACATAGCATACGCAGAGCTACAAAACACCTTCCATCTTGATGTAATACACACAAAAATCAAACGGACTCTTGTTGTAGTTGAACTTCGTAAATAGTTGCTCAAGCTCCAAAGTCTGATGTACAGCTATTACTACTCGCACCATGACGGAAGTATGTCTGGCTACCTGCGATATAATCTCCTTGTAGTCAATTCCCTTTTCTAAAGAAACCCTCTTGCAATTACCCTAACTCTATACTTGGTTATATCCTTCCCTTTGAAAACTCATCTACAAGTGATGATCTTTTTCTCCAAAGGCCTTAAAACAAGTTCCCAAGTCATATTCCTATGAAAAGACTCCATATCATCTCCCATTGCGGCAAGCCATTGAGCATATAGTACATAAAACAACTTCCTTGGACAACTAAGAAATATCCACCTCTTCATCAATACATAGTGCAAAAGCCACTATGTCTTCACGACCATACCTTTGGGAAGGCTTCCTAAAATTTGTCCTCATATGCCGACCAAGAGTCAAACTAGGCTCAACGGCGAAGACTTTGATACTTCAAATTTCAAGAATGAGTGTTTACTCTCAAGAATGTGGTTCATAACTCGATGTGAGAATGAGTGACTAGTTGCTCCACAAGACTTGCGATATGATAACAGCAATGTATAAAAAGGCACACCAAGGCGTTTATGAGTTCCTTGCACCTAGGCTGCGCCATATATAAGTGAGGCGCATATAATAAACAATAAAATATTTTTGAAACAAATCTTTGGGCGCCCCAGTACGCCTTAAGCTGCGCCTGTGTGTACCTTAGCTGCACCTCATCGAAATCGCCTCGCCTGGACCATAAAAAGCCCATGACCCGTGACACCTCTAGGCGTGCATTTTCAAACACTAGACAATTGTAGACCCAAAACTTAGACCTTTGCAACACATAAAGGTCTCTTGTTAACACTTTTCAGCAATAGCAGACATACAACACTACACGTTCACCTCTTAAGCTGAATCCCTTATTGTCTTATAGACTGCTTCATCATGAGTTAAACAAACCTAACACCTATGTTACACCTTACACGGACTTTTCATTTTTGTTAGGCCCTCGACACTCGCATATGGGTAGGACACTTAGACACTTCATTTTAGTTCGAAATCATAAAATGTCTTCACAAAATAGTTGAGTCGGACACTTAGACACGTATGCGTATAAGACACCCGGTTGTACATAGAGTATCACGACATGACATCCAAATATATAGTGGTCTTATATGAAATTTTATAAAATCGGGAGTTCGAAGGATCTGACACCATATCAGACACGACACCCAAATCCAAGTCTGTGCAACATAGATATTCTTAAGGAAATACATATTAAATAACTGATCCAGAACGCTCAATAGATTAAAAAGAATGATCAACAGATCGGAATGATCAACCGATCAGAATGATCAACACACAGATGATCACTAGACTCAAAATACTATCTTAGATAGTTAGATTAGCCATAATAGCCCATTGGTGTCATGTGCACGCAAGAGCTATAGCTCACTCGCCTATAATTATAGCTCCACCACTGCGATTCTACAATGGCCCTCTGAACGATAGCTCACTCCCCCACGAACTATAGCTCCAACCTTCTGCACATCATTCCCCTACAAACTTCCTCGTTCACGACTTATAACAGATTCAAGACATATTTCAACAGTTTGTCAAATGGGGTTTCAATAGCACATAACTACACTACAAACACCATTTCAATAGCACATAACTACACTAAAAACACCCTAAATAACACTCAACACTCAAACATAATATGGGACACTCATACTTAGGCCAAAAAATCCCGTTATTACACATTATATCAAGTTTAATAATTATACCAGCGTCCAACTATATCCATATAATTCATACTACCTCCATTGATACTTTTATTAGTTCAAATTATACTATCGACATGACAATTAATGCATTCAAGACATCAAATGCAACAGATAGACTTGGCAAAGCAAAACCCAAAAGGAAAATGCAATACATACACTCCTCTAATAATTATATAGTACAATGATTTCAATTTACATAGTTTAAGGAAAATACCAGTATATAAAACATTAAGAAGCTTACCACACACTGTTGAAAACTATTCTGAAGAGCAAGTAATGCCTCCAAATCCTGATCAGAAAGCCGTGGTTTTGAATCTAAAAAAACACCCAGAATTCATAAATCAAGTTTCAAACTTGCAATTGTAAATTGAAGAAGAGAGGAGAGAGAAAAAGGGAGTACCAATATTGGAGATTCCAGTGATGTAAATGAGAATGATTGATAACCCAGAAGCTAAAACTAGCAGTAACCCAAAGGGCAGAACCCTCATCATTGAATTTACTTGATAAATTCTAAATGAAATTGTTTGTTTGAAAATTGATTTATGATTTTGTGGAATTTGAGATAGTAGAGTGAGCGAGGAAGTGAGCGCTTATCGATGGTAGATCGGCCAGTCTTCGGCTTTTCTTGTTTCGGTGGTATTCGTCTATTCGAATGGTATTTTTAATACCAAGTAAATACAATTGTTTTTTTTTCTTCTTTTAGAGAATTGTTGCACTATTTGAATATACACTGCTAATTGAAATCGTTTCAATGAATAAATTATTATTTTTTAATTATTATAATTTACTTTAATAAGTTCTAATTAATTTCAATAAGATCTACTAAGTTCAAAACCAGTCTAATAAGTTTTAATTGGGTTTGATAAGTTACAATCCGGTGCAATGATCACATTGATCAGGTCTAATAGTCGTTCAATCAAGTTTACTAATTTCCAATCAGGTTCAATTAAGTCTAATAAGTTCGGTTCAAGTCCAATCAAGTGAAGAAAACGCGCCCTTAGTTAGATTAAATTTGCCATAAATGAATTAATTAACTAATAAAAGTGCAACATTAAGAGTAGTTCGAACTAATTAAAACCCCTTATTTAACTCCATTTTTAGACAAATAACCCTTGTGATACCCCTACTTTGCTGTAAAAAGGATTTGATGTAATACATATTCAATAAGATGAATCTTTGAGAGTGAGGGATAGCTCAAGTGGCTAGAGATTCTCTCCCGGTTTCAGGAAATTATGGAATTGATTCTCACCCCTACCCTTGTGGCTCTCTAAACACCAAAAAAAAAGATGAATCTTTGTTTTAGGGAACTCATTTGCTAAGATGTTTTACAATAAGTGTGTTTGGTTGGGAGTAGTCTTACGATGGGTAACCTCCTATAAAGTTTCCCAAGGTGCACTTGAGTGAGGACTAAATGCGCTAGAAGAACTTGTGTTGGTTTATAGGACCAATAGTCGGTCTATTGAGTCTATATTGCACATATGGGCTATGAGTAATATTAGTTTGTGTGATCTGTGGGGCCAGTTGTCAATCCTCATTGCGGATTTGGTACCTATGTTGAGATACTCCCCAATTATGTATGCTTGACTAGGAATAGTCTTAAAATGAATGATCTCTTGGGATTCAGAGTATGTATGAGTGAGGACAAAATACGCTAGAAAACTTGCGTTAGTCTATGAAGTCAAATGCCAATAGAGCCCAAAAATATTTAAGCGATAGATATGTTAGGGTCCTAACAATCTCTACTGTAAAATATATTAGGGTTTCAAAATTTTCAAGTACCAGTTAAGTTAGTCTTAGAAATTCCAATCATTAGGTTGATTAGGATCCCAAATTTTACAATTGGAAGGTTGATAGGGTACAGGAAAATACAATCGATATTTACATTTAACGAAGCTTTATTGCATTTTTTTTTTTCATTTTGCAAATAAGCATGATTTATGATAGGATTTTGCTTAAACAAATTTGCTTATTTGCACAAATGAGCAAATATTTGTACAAAATGAGTTCATTCCTAAAAATAAGTCATACCATCTCATCTATTGATTAATCATGTTTTTATACTCAAATCATAAATATATATGGATTGGAGATTATGAACATTTAATAGCTACAATTTTTTTTAAAAAAATCGATTCCATTATTTGCTAATAATATTCATTAAGGTAATGCATAAAAGCATTCCTTAAAATTAAAAATAAAAAAAAAATAATAAAAAAATAAAAAAAGTAATGCATAAAGGAAATATTAACTATTGTTATATATTATAAATTATATATGAAGGATATGTTTATATGAGTAGTCAATAATTGTTTTACAACTAATTTATTCAAAGGTTTTATGGAAAAAATATTATAAATAAACAAATAATTAATAAAAAAAAATTAAGAATGAACTTATCTATTAAATTACAAGCGTTCAAACTACCAACCCGGAGCATCGTCCGGACCACACACTAGTTCCGAAAAGTCGAAATGGATCATATGATTGAGAAAACAGGTTGCATTTTCTCCTATAAACCCATTTTTTATTAAATTATCCTTAAGACCATTAAATGGGTGGCAAAATCTTGGGTTAATAGTAAAGGTTTGTCTGATCTACAATTTAATTTCAAAATTCTTTATTTTGCAAATATTTAATGTAGATTTTATTTGTTCCAGTATATAGTTGCGATGTTTAGTGTGCGATACCACGCTCTATGGCGTTTCTAATCCTACAACACACTAATAATGGTCAGACCAATTGAACTATTATGGTATGAAATTTCATTTAAATTTAGGAGTATGAACTATTATGGTATAAAATTTCATTTAAATTTACAGGTTATTTTAGTATGCAATTTCATTTAAATTTAGGAGTATGAACTATTATGGTATAAAATTTCTGACTTTTTTCTTCTTCTTTTAGGTTAGTGTTCTTGCGGGGTTTAATCTGGAGTTAGAGCTATCAGAGTAAATTCGATTCACGACAAAGGATCGTTTGTACAGACGGACTTCAATTCTTTCCCTTTGATCTCTTTCAAAAGACCTTATGTCATGCATTGTTGAACACACAATTCAGATGAGAGTTGTACATATTCAAGAATGGAGATAGGGTTATCTAATGGCGTGATTATTAGGGTTGGTGAGTGCACCGCGAAAGCAAATTAAAGATGTAGAGATTGAGAAAATAAGTAAGAGAAGGATAAAGACCGAGATAAATAGTAAAGAAATGAACACACAATATTTAACATGAGAAAATTTATAAAAACTCACGAACGACAAGCACTGAAATAATAATCCATTATATGAAAATAAGAGAGTATAGAGGGACACTCATAGAGTGTATAATATGTATCGGAGTATTGGGGGATATGTAGGTGGATACATGCTCCTAAATGAAGCCCACGTCTTATATTTATAGGTAATGTATTAAGGTGGAAGAAGTGTGTGGAATCTTCTACACATGTTCTTTAAGTTCACATCAATCTAGAATCTTTATGACCATTCACCAAATTCTAGATTACTCCATATTTCTCCATCAATTTCTCAATATACGAGAGTTTTCTAGAAACCTTGAGATGTAATAAATTGGGCTATGAAATTTGAGCTACGCTAACCCAACAGTGGTATATATCTTTATATTTACAATTTCTTTTTATTAATTTTAATATTAATATGAAAAATTCGTGATTTTCTCCCGACCACAAAAATATCAAGTGGAGTCTTGTTATATATATTATTAATTTGCAAGCGTGATATGAGAGAAAATAGTGAAAGCTCACAAATTCAACTTCAATTCATAACAATAGTTGATGATGAATAATTATGGGAGTAATTAGCTCTTTAAATAATGGATTGAATAAACTTCAAGATTTGGAACCTCTTTTTTGCAGAGTAAATGGAAGAAGAAAAACAAGAGGTTTGAAGGTACCTACCCATGTCCAGTTCCCTTAAAAGGTCTATATTGCCCACTTATGTGAACTCCTTTTACACTGTCTATAACCATCCAAATAGTCATTTCGAATGAAAATCAACACCAATTCAAAATTAAGTCTAATATCCATGTCCAACACTTCAACCCATGGGTTTCGTAGATGCTCTCACATCATACTTTAAACAACAAATAACATGAAATGATAAAATTTTCTAAAGGTTAAAATAATGGACCATGCATCATTTACCATGGAAGAACAGAATTGAAAGAATTGTAATCCAAGTAATTTCGAGAAAGACATTCAATATTTACAAAAGAAGCCTCCAAACAGGAGCCCCATTCGGGTTAGACAACTGTGAACTTAAAAACAAAAAAATTGAACAAAGAGGGAGAAGAACAATAAGTCCTTAATTTCACAACATGCAGATGCAGCCCATATGAAACTCCTTTGGAGACACTAAAAAAATACTACTAATATTTTGCACACTAACATCCAACCTAACCTTTCCCTCATCTTTATGCTACCACAAAATTGGAAATATTAGTCCAGCTTCACTGCACCATCCTCCTGATGCTCCTTCTTTGGCTCGGCTGGGAAGTATTTAATTCCAACCAGATCACCAACGTTGCTGATAACCTGAAATTTTGACAAGACTATTATAAGAAAAGAAAATGATGCTTAAAATGAAAATGAGCCCTAATAAAAAAAGCACAGCTCTTGGTCCTCACTGACCAACACGACCACAAATTTACAAATTTTGTAGATACTGCCTGTCAAATTTGAGTGAAAACTATAAGAAATACTTCCTTTTAAAAAAGAAAATTGCAATGTTTTGGCTTCACACTTCCCATTGCATAAGTTCAAGTACAATTATCAAGTAAAAATTTTAAAGAGTTGATATTTTGAAGATGCATTTAACAAACACTTTTTTTCCAAGTACACATCACCAAATATAATCAATGTAGATGTGTGTCAATAGTTAAACAGTCAAAACATTGCAAGTAAAGAATTTGAAGTATGAAGCATAGGTTATTGTGACGTCTGAACTGTTCTTTCAGCCAACTAAAAACTGCTATATCTTGACAAATAGGAAATTTTGACAAGTAGTTTAGGATGAGGAGGTATCCAAGAAATGAAAACAAAATGAACAAAAGAATATGTCCTGAAAAACACTGACCTCAAGAGCCTTAACAAGGTCCTCCCTTGAATGAGATGCAGAAATGCATATACGTGCCCTAGCCAACAATAGCGGTGTAGCTGGAAATCCCACAACAACAACAGCCACCTGTGTTTTTATGGACAAAAATAAATTACTACAATGCCAACCATTTTAAGAGCTAGAGCAACCAATCTTAATGATGGCAAAAATCAGAATTCAGGAATAAGACAAAGATTGATCATGGTAACTATGCTTACATTTTGCTTGAGGCATTCCCTAGAGAATGCAGGAATTTTGGAAGGATTGTAGAGCATTATAGGCATCACCGGAGAATCATTATCCCCAAGGACCTCAAATCCCATCTTCTGTAGTTCCGACCGGAAGAAGTTACTGTTTTCACGTATTCTGGTCAACTTCTGAGAACCTGATATGCATGACCACAAGTCAGCATAAAACTATGAAATACACAAGTTAATTGTAACAACATAAACAACTGCATAGTAAATGGCAGGTATATTAGACCTCTACTCGAACCATCCTCTCCAAGAAGAACCTTTATTGCAGACACAATTTGTTGTGCGGCCGGTGGTGAAATTGATGTCCCGTAAAGATGAGCCGGACATGTGTACTTGAGATACTGAATAAGCTCCTGCATCAAAAGAGATAATATGCAAATTAGAGTCATCTAACAATGGTCTAATTACTTCAAATAAACCTCCATGTAGAGGTAGAAAATGCACATAAAACAAACCTTTGAGCCAGCAATATAACCACCACACGATCCAAATGACTTTGTGAAAGTTCCCATCATGATATCAACATCAGCTGTATCAACTTCTAAGAGCTCACAGACACCTCTACCAGTTTTCCCTACAGCTCCAATGCTGTGTGCCTCGTCCAGGTAAATGTACGCCTAAAATAAAGAGGGAAACGTGGAAGTGAATACAAGGACAACAAATACAAAGAGAGAAGCTTCAAGGAGTTTCAGAGTTATTTCATGAGAATATGAGGGTGAAGAAACAGAAATGCTTCACTTTGCAAACCAGAACAGAGAACGAATCATGTTGTAAAATACACCTCACAATCTCACTTGAATTGGACACTAATCCTACAAGATTACAGGTGAGTAAGTTAGTTCAAATACTTCATCTTACATACACAAATTATCATGAATGACCAGCATTGATTACTTCAGTCTCTCTCTAGAGAGGGAAAAAGGAAGTCAACTCTAGCTTTATTTTCATGGGACGGTTTATTTCATCCAAGGTTTGATCAGCTCAAAATCTATATAAATTTAACATTTGGATTTCTTAACAACAATATTACTTGATGATCTCTTTCTCCAAGAAAACATCTATGTTATGCATTTGGTTCATGATGACACTTAACTGCTACCTTGACAGGACATTTTTTTATCCCATTAATATACAAACTTCACTAGTAATCCTCTGGACAACTGTTCTAGAAACATCAGTGTCTAAAACATTGATAGCAGAGGGTTAACATACATCCTAAGCTTTTATGAGCCACTTACTACACTCTTTGTCACACATTGAGGTGCTAAGCTCCACTGCTCCAGACCCTCCACATAATCATATTGTTACACAAATATTCATTAAGTAGAAGACGGGAGGGAAGGAGGAAGAGATCCAATTCCCCTAATTGGATAAGTAAGAAGAGGAGGGAAGGGGAGGAAATCGTAAAACAAAACTTGCTTCAAAATCCAACAAAAAGGCCATGTGTAGTTCACCTTATTTCATGACCTTATTACTTATTTCAGAGATTAAAAAAAAAAAAAAAAAAATTCAAATCAGATTAGAAAACATACTTTATCGTTTTATGTGCGATTTTTTATTGCTAAATATCTTTATTTTCGTAATGAAAAAATCATGAAAATCACATATTAATAAAATACATATTATAACGAATCTAACAAAACCCCATTTGATATTTCTGTCACTTTAGTAATATTGCTACAATTTGAAATTTGAACTATTCAACACTCTTGTTTGACCACATATTATGATTTATACGTTATGATGTATATAGTCAAGTGGGGTTTTGTTGGATTTGTCGCGTAATATATATTTATAATATCAATTTATTATAATTTTTACTCAAATTTAACGATATTTAACATATAAAATGTGCTTTGGGATATGTAATTTCATCATTGTTGCAAAATTATAACAGAGGAAGTATATAAGATTAGCGTGTACATATAAGGTCTATTTGGTCAAATCAAACAATTAGATAAGAAAAAAATCAGATTAGATCAGCAAAAATAAGGTGAACTAGGGCCTAAGCTGCAAGAACATTGAGACAAAGAATATATATATTGCCAACCACACCTTGAATTGAACATAAAAAAAAAAAAAAAAAAATGTAGCTTGGATCTATCAAAACCCAAACTTTAAGCGAAGAATGATTCGAGACACAAATAAAAAAGTAATAACAAAAACAAACATAACAACTTCCAACCAAAGAAATTATTCAAATTTTCAATAGATTCGAAGCAACAAACCAAGTTCTTGAGAAGCACACGACATGTTCTCCAAAGAGTTTCATTGTCGATTAATAGGAAAGTGAAACAAAGGCGAGGAAGAGGGTGAAAATCATGAGTAGGAGGGAGAGAGTCACGAGTGTGAGATTGGGAAAGGAAGGCAAAATACAAGTTAGGTAGCCTTTAATATTATTTAGTTTGTATGTCTCTATTTTGGCTCATGTCATGTGATGCAGAGGGAGACCGAAGATAACTTGGTTAGAAGGAGTTAGAAAGGATATGAAACAGTTGGATTTGCATAAGAATGATGTATTTGATCGTAACGGATGGAGGAGGAAGATTTTTGTAGATGACTACACGGAATAACACTTTTGGTTCATGTAGCCGACCCCACTAATGGGATCAAGGCTTTGATTAATTTGATTGATATGTCTCTATTTTACTTCCGAATCTCTCTAATTTTGGTGAGATTTTCTTTTTTTTTTTAAAAAACAAAAAGGTAAATTCTTTCCATTCCCCTCCTTTCCATAGCTCTATTTCCCTCACCCTCATACTTAGCTATCCAAATACAGGAAAATTGACCCCATCTCTTTCCCTTCTCTCCATATCCCTCTATCCACACAAGCTATAAGTGGTATCATGTCACCCGAAGGTGCTTAAAGCATAGATAAGTACTGAATTAGCACACTTTAGTTACAGTTACATGCCAAGAGAGAATATAGCCTAATATTTCAACGAGGAAGGATAAACTTCCTAGCCCAAGGGATACGAAGGAGAAGGGGTAAATGAACGGAGCGAGGGAAATGGAGGGAAGTTTTTTCCTTGTTTCTTCAATAATTTAATCACTCCATAATTGGAAAGATTTGCAGGTATAATGACTTCCACAAAATTTAGTAACACTAAAAGGATAATTCTACCCCTATGTCTTTCCAAACATCAACCCACTCCAATGGAGATAGAATGAGTACATGATTCCAAAATTGGAATACTAAAGGAGGATGAAAGAAAGTTGTAATCAATAAATTGATACTCCAGAGAAAAGAGGGATGGCAGGGATGACAAGGAAAGAAGGAAGAAACAAGGGAATGTAATTTACAAAGTATTTAAAGCTTGTCATACGAGGGCTGATGGCATGTCAAACAGAATCCTAGTGACACTACATGTGTTTACTCATGTCTTGTGGTTAAATATACTATAAGTGTAATTTTAATCAAGTTTGTGGATGAAAATTACCATCTTGAAACACCACTTTGTCGGCCAAATATCATAAAGGAAAAATTCGCTATGCTTATCCCAACTATCAAAGGTCTTTCCATAATAATCTCAAGTTCTCAACTATGGGTTATTCATGTATAATACAAACTATAGGGTCATGCTTCCCAAAATACTCCTGGATGACTGGCAACCTGCTTGTTAAGTCAAAAATTTTGCTCTTCTTAATTACATAAGAATAATAGTCCAACACCAAAAGCTTTGTTCCAATAGAGATGACTTTAAAAAACTCCATCTGGCTTACAGCTTTCACCATTTTACACTTTAAGCATCATCTTCAATTTTTCTGTCACCCACTCATTCTCTCAAAGACGAAATATATGTTGTTTCTTTCGTTTTTTTTTCTTGAATAACCAAGTTGAGATTCTCCTTATTGTATCAGTAGTTCAATACATAAATTCATAGGCCCATAGCCATATGATTGTCATCATAAAATTAAAACACAATCACAATCTAAATTCCATAAAATAGCAATGAAAAGAATACTACTGGATCTTACACATGTGATAGTTCTTACCTTTAAATTTAAAAAACAGTACAAATTAGTTTGTTTTTTTTTAAAAAAAATAAAAACTCGTGTAGTCGTGTTAGCTGGACAAAAAAAAATAAAAATAAATAAATAAATAAAAATAAAAACCAGACTTTAGTTTTAAAATCAAAAAACACGAAAGATCAGATTTATGGTGGCAGCAAAATTCATCTCTCTAACAAACTTCAGAGATGGAAAGAAAGGGAGGTAAAGCCCACACATGCAATCTCACTAGCAAGAACCAGTCATAAAGGTAATGAAAATAGTTTGGGAAGCATAACCCTAAGTTGAGATTATATATGAAAAATCCATAGTTGGGATTACTGGCGTGGAACTTTCCTATCATAAATCACATTATAAAAACCTTTAAAAAGATTCTCATCCCTCCCTGCCCCTGTTTCTATCTCCCCACCAAAAAAAATGATAATACAAACAAAATTAGACAACAAAAAAAGATAATAACCCATAACTAATACATATCGCAAAAACTCCGCCATCCATACCTTGTATTTTTTGCATATAGCTACAATCTCAGGAAGTTTGCAGAGTTCTCCCTCCATACTATATATGCCCTCCACAACAACAATGATTTTCTTCCATGGTCTGTGTGTCCTGGGTTGACCCTCAGCAATTTGTTCTCTCAAAACTTTCTCCAACTGAGATGGAGCTGAATGCAATAATAAAATGGAGCAAGTCAGATAGATGAAAGCAAGCGAAAATCTTAAACACTTAAAATTTGAGTTCTTAAAAGAGAGGGGAGGGGGTGGGGGGCTATTGTTCTCATTAGCAGGTTACTTAATACAACTCACTATTATGTTGGAAAACACAAACAGTAGCCCCTGATCCACGAGCACCGTTGACAATGGAGCTGTGATTCAAAGAATCACTAATAATTAACCCACCCTGTTATTGACAATCAAGAGTACTAATGTTAATTAATGCAACTCATGAAAGAATCGTTTTCCAAAGATTAGTCTCAAGTACCTTCCCAATCAGAGCAGGGATAATAGCAGAATTTGTAACATATCCCATTCCAGTCACTAAAGCAGCTGGTTTTCCAACAAATTTGGCAACACACTCCTCTAGTTCACTGTGCAGTGTAGTAGTGCCTGCATGCATAATACGGTAAATCTTAGCCATTTACATTAAATGGACCTGTTTCCCAAAAAGAATTAGTACATCTTAGCTAAAAAAATATGGGCACCTCCATCTACAGACGGGCTACAGGTGCTGGCAGAAAACTGCTTTAGTGATTCAATTACACGAGGTGTGCAATACTCATCGGCTGCTGCAAATCCAAGATAATTATAAGAGCCCAAGTTAAGACAACGCTTAACTTTGTCAGTTCGTCTGCACAAACAATGCATAAATTGGTTGGTATTATAAGACTAGAATTTTGAAACCTTCAAGAAAGAAAAAACCAAAAAGCTGAAGCAAGCAAATCATCATTAAGCGAAGGTTTAATCTTTTGCATATAGCTAAAACATACTTTAAAGTCTTGTTATGATCATTGGAATAACGTTCCACAACATCAAACCAAGCATCTGGGGCACTTGAAATCGGTCGTCCAAAGCAGTCCTACAGATGGCGTGGAGAATTAGCCAACGTATTGGCAGAATAATAGTAGAACCACATCAGGGTACCAAATTTCCCAAATTTACACTACGAATAAATTCGCTGCTGGATATGCTAAATCTTAGATGGATTGACTGGAAACTATGGAAATCTGTACGTCTCTAATAACTGATTACTGATAGGACTTTAAAAGTTTCCTCATAAAAACCAAGCATTGTATGCTTCACCAAAAATTAATATTCATCCAACAATTCAATCTCTCTTCTCTTCCTCTCTCCCTCCCCATCCCCCCCCCCCTCTCTATTTCTCTCTCAAATTACCCTCTCTCGCTCTCTCACACACACACACTCAAAAGAAAGATTAAATCTTTGTCTTTCAAAATGTTCCCTTTTGATTAAAGTTGTATACTGGTATTTCAACTTAGCTATTCCTGTATAAATGAATATATTAACACTTGATCAACGACTATACCGGTACAAGAACACACTATCACATCAGAGCTTGATCATGGCCTCATGGGTGATTATGAAAGCAGGCCACTTCCAGTTAATTTTTGAAATCAATCCGAGTGATACGCTCAATCACAGACCCAATGCAAATTTCTCAGTCACTAACAAACCACAAATCTATAAGACTAAACCTATAAGACTACAATTCTATTACAATTGAAAATGAACCTTTGAGCTTATGTTTAATTTGAATAATTCACTATCTTCAAAAACAACTATTTCCCACTTATACATAGCATGCCACTAAAATAAAGTAAATAAATCAAAGAAAAGAAATTAATTGCAATTATAAGAATCAAATTACCTGAATTCGAAGGTAAAGACGACGAATATAGAAATCTTCATATCCTAAACAAATCGGCGCGTAACCCTAATAAAAAAAATAATAAAAAAATTACACAAAATCAGAAATTAAATTCAAAAACTAAAAAATTAAAGATTCAAACTTTCCAAAAAAAAAAAGAGGAAAATCAACCTCAACAGTGCTGGTAGTCCACCGATCGACGATTTTACGGAATAAATCACGTAATTGACCAAAAACAAATAACAACCCATAACTAAAGTAGGTTGTTAATGCAGTCAAATATGGAATCGTAATCATTTTCTATAATTTTTTTAATTTTTTTTTGAAAATTGTATCAAATTGATCAATAATTCACCAGATCTCAGGAGAAATTAAAAGGTGAAATGGAAGAAAAAAGAGATCTGGAAAATTGAAGGGTTTAACAATGGCATCGAAGAGGAGAGAGAAAGTGGAGGGCGGGAGGAAGGTGTTGGGTGGCAGAGAATGATGGTCAAGTTCAAATTGGCTGACCCCAAAGGAGGAAGAAGAAAGCCAATCCTCTGGGTTTGTTGATATTACAGGATTTTTAGCGTTGAATTTTCAAGAATTTTTGGCTGACTTTTTTTCTTTTCTTTTTAGCAATTGACAAGGTGGTATAGGTTGGAATTAGCTTACGTGGAGTGTTTAATTGGTCGGGTTCGGGTTGAGTATCTCGGGTTTGAATTAGATTGTAAATTTACATAAACATTTTTTTTAGGATGCCCGTCCGATTCACCTGAACTTAACTTCGACTATATCCGGATCCTAACTATGTCGCACACCTGACTTATGTTGGGTGAGTCTCCCAACAAGAGTTTATGCATACGGTGAGTCTCGAACTCAAGACCGTTGCTTACCACTTGAGTCAACTCTTGTTGGTAAAGTTAAATCAACATGATTAAAAAAAGTATATCTATCTCTATTACGAACTATTATATAAAAATCAAGGGGCGAGCTAGTGAAGAAGTTGTGTCCATCTAAAAAGTCTAAATTGCCCTTATTATCATATTGTAAAATGAAATTAGGAAATTTTGACGTTTACCACCTCCAAAAAAACGACTTATTGGCTTTTTCCATTTACATAATTTAAAGTTTTATTTTAGCACCTCATAAAAAAAATAAGGGAAATTTGTCGGATAACACCTTTCATAACCCTTTTGTTGTGAAAAAGCACCTTATAAATTATCTTTGTTAAAACACACCTAAAACCAGAATTTTTTTGCAACAACACACCTTAGACCGATTATAGGGGGATTGACTCGGTTTCCTGGCGTTGACCCTCACGTGAAGGTCACGTGCCGAACCCTTCCTTTCTTTTTCCCCCCTTTTTCCTCCAATTACTTTCTCTCTCCTCAAAACCACCAAACCACGACCTAGCCACAGCCGCCGACACCGACACCACCACCTAGCGAACCCAACCGCCGACACCACCACCCACCAACCTAGCCGCCATCACCGACCACCTAAATCATTATAAACCCACTATGTACACCATCCATCACCCTCGAAAACCACTAGACCCGCCATGAAAACAACCCAAAAAAACCCTAAACATCTCCATAAACACCCTAACCACCTCATAAATAACCCCAAACATCCTGACAAAAACCCTTAACACCCTAAAATAAACCAATAGAGAGAGAAGAGGGTTGGTAGCGGTTTTTCCCCCTTTCATACCTCCAATTAAAAACCCTAAACTAAGGTAAATAAAAAATCAACGAAATTAACAACCAATTTCATTACTTTAACAACTTATCTACCTCAAAATAAGGTTAATTGAGGTTCTTTGCAGCAATTCGAGCAAAACAATGGAGTTTTCCCCTTCAATTGATAGAATTTGAGGGTTGCTAGGAAGAACAGAGGAGAGAGAAAGTCTAATTAGAGGGGGGAAAAGGGTAAAAAAGAAAGGGAGGGGTTTTTTTCAGGTGGGCGGTGATGGAGGATAGGTTTTTTCAGGTGGACTGTGATGGTGGTTGGGGGTTGGCTAGGTGGTGGTCTTGGTGGTTTTGAGGAGAGAGAAAGAAAAAAGAAAGGTTGGGTTTTAATTCTAAGTGAGCATGTGACCCTCACGTAAGGGTCAGCGCCGGGAAACCGGTCAATCCCATGAAACTAGCCTAAGGTGTTATCTCATAAATAAAAAATAAATAAAATAAAAACTGGTTTTAGGTGTGTTTTTACAAAATAAAATTTATAAGGTGATTTTTCACAACAAAAGTGTTTTAAAAGGTGTTTTTAGACAAATTTTCCAAAAAATAAAATTGGTTTTTTCCACCAAAACCCAACTTCGGTGACGAAAAAGTGATGTGGAGCCCATTTTTTTCTGTTTCACTCCAAATTAAATGCTCCAAACACGATTTTCCTCTCTCTCTTCATTACCCTCACTTTCCCTATTCAATTCCTTTCACTTTCTCACCTTCCTCCCATTAATTTTTCTGAATTTCTCATCTCCTTCCTTACATTTTTAATCTCTCTGTAAAAGTGAAACACTATATTTCTCACCTTTCTCCTTTAATTTCTCATCTGGTAGTTGAAGAAGAGGTGACACCACAAAAGCGCAACAACTCAGCACGAGATCGTCATCTTCAACAGGGAGGGGACCAAAAGCTTAGGTCTTTGCTGACAAAGATTCGAGAATCCTAACAAAGAGAGGTATTTTGAACTTCTTTATTGTACTTTGCGTGGGTAAATGGGGTGTATTTTGGGTAAAATATGTTAATTTTGGGATTCCTTGACATAAATTATTATAAACCCTAATTATGCGAATCTTTGACCTTTATATGCAGTTTAATTGTTAAAAAATTACTTAATTAGGGTAAGCGAGCTTTAGTTGGTAAATGGTAATTAAGTGCATAGCGAAGGTTAATTGTTGTTTGTTGCAGTAATTGTTACATGCATGTAATTGGATTTGACTAATTTTACAATTAATTACTGAACTTGTGATTTAGTGTGTTTGTTTATGTTGAAACTGTTACATAATTGACAAAGCGAACCTTAAAATTACATTAGGGGGTGCATTTACACCCTCATTAGCTGGTAAGAATAGGAGGGTGTTAACTTGGGATGGTGGCTGGGTTTATTAGATGAAAAATGTGACCGTCTCTAAGATAGATGTACACTTCTTGAGGGAAGCAACTGTTCATGGCTTTGTTTATGCTAATGTGGCTGTGCCCAGGGGCTTTAATTTCTAGTATAAACAGAAGGGAAGGTCTTGGGTGACTGGTTAAAGGGAGTTAGTCAGTAGTGATGAGGTAAAAGTGTTCCTATAGTTAGTAAATAAAGAAGGGGTAATAGAGATGTATGTGACTAGTCATGAGCCAATTCAGGCTACTAAAAATACACCATTTAAAATGATAAATGGTAATGAGCTGACTCCAGAAGAAAGGAAGCAACTTGGCAAGGAGTTGGGTGGGCCTAGACCACTTAGGACCAACCCAAAAGTGAGTAAGCCCACTGTAGATGTTCATATCAAAGACATGTTTATATCAAAGACATTGGAACACATGCCCTTTTGTACATTTTTATTTTGAACTTTTGAAATTTTGGTAAAAATCACTCAAGCTTTTGCTTTGAAAATTGTATAAGTCGCACACCATCCCATCCCAAGGTTAGGTAGATTTGGGTTGAAAAAATGAAAAGTCGATCGTTAGACCAGGCTCAAAGTGGCTTATCAAGAAAGGGATTGTAATTCAAAGGGTGAAGGTGATATGATGTGGCTGCAAGGGGTGCCTCAAATCATTGGTATACCTTGTGCTTAGTTCAGTACAAATTTTTTTTTTTATCTTTTTTTTTTTATAATGCAATGCAATGATCATATGGAAGGAAAGAAATACTCATTTTATTGAAATGGAAAAGGATTAAAACAAACTCATGAAGGCACATGATGGAGGGTGCCTATGCTAGACTCATTGAGGGAAAAGGGAAAAAAAGAATAAGAAAAGAATCATGAAATCTTGTCGTTTAAGCCCGCCTCGTGCTTTGTGCTTATCATCACTCGATTTTCTTGCTGGCTGGAGGGAATGGAAGCTTGTTTGCATCGATGAGATCTTGAATGAGGTTTTGAAACCTATAACATTCATCTGTGGTATGACCATTGCCTCGATGGTACTTGCAATAGGAGTTGGGATTCCATCTTGAAGATCGCTTTTCTGGTGTTGGATCCTCAGTGGGACCAATAGGTTTGATTAAACCTCGACCATAGAGACGATCAAAAGCAACATCATAGGATATTCCAATAGGTGTGAATTCCTTTTTGGGTTTCTTGGCTTTTGAAGCATCTTTATCAAGGGCCCGGATATCATCGGCATTGATGTTGTTAATGTAGTTGCTATGGGAATAAGCGAAAGAAGGATTGTCGTTCTTCCTGCTCTTGCCATTGTGACCAGCCTTCAAGAGGTCATCTTCAATGTTAATGCCTATGTCATAGACAACTTTGAAGGTTCTTAAAGTTTGATATATTAGGTGTTTATAATACTTGTCTTGAAGGTTTTTGATGAAGATTCTCATAGAATCTTTTTCATCTAGGGCCTTGATCATCTTAGTAGAAACTTCCCTCCACCTATTATAGGATTCGGTGAAGCCTTCATTGTCTTTTTGTTTAAGAATTTCAAGCTCTCTATAGTCAGTCTCTACTTGTATGTTGCACTTGTTCCTGTCAATGAAAGTATGCGTAATACTATCCCAAGTAGCCATTTTCTTAGAGTCCATGGAAAAAAACCATTGTTGACATACTGGTTCCAAGGAAAGAGAAAAAAGTGAGGGGAAAACTTTCTTATCAATCCCCTTGATTCCCATGATTGTCTCAAAAGCTCTTAGGTGAAAGTAAGGATTGTCAGTAGCCTTGAATTTAGGGATGTCATTGGCGGAGAACTTGTGCGGAAGAAGGTCCTTATTGTAGGGTTTCGTAGTGACCCGACACTACGCGGAAGGAAACCCACCAAGACCCACCCCTTAATTAAAGCAATTAAACAAGCATAATAAACTTAATCAAACAACATTAAGAACAAGAATTATACCTTTGACGCGTGCTTCGCTCCCAAAGAGCTCTTACTTCAAAATCCCGAAAAGACGAGATCTCCGACGGATGGTACCCGACCCGAGCGTCCTAAGTCTTGAAGGTTAGTCAAGACCCGGACAAAATAACTATGAGTTTTACAAATCAAAGGTTTACTCTTTTCTTAGAGTTGCCTTTTTAATTCCACTCAAGGTTGTTCATTTCCCAATACCCAAGCTTGGTATTTATAGGGAAATGAACCCTTGTATTTCATTCCCCAACCAATGTGGGAGAATGTTTTATTTGCTAATTAATTTATTCTAACATAAATTAATAAATAAATCTAATCACAATGCAACAAGTGTCAAATGGAGAGAGAAGGTTAGGTGAGGACCATGAATGGGTGGGGGGACCATTGCCTTGCTCCTCAAGGCTTTTCCCAAGCTTGGTCCCCACCCTTCACCAAAACCGGCATCTCATAGACAGCTGGGCTGGCAGCCTGCCTTGGCTACCAAGGCTGCCAGCTGGCGCCTAGCACCAAGGCTGGGCAGCCAACCAGCTTGCTGTGCTAGCAAGCAGTGCTAGCACGCACTGGCCTAGCACGCATCAGCCCCTAGCACGCTGCGAGCTGCTGGGCGCTGGCGCTGCTAGCATAATGCTGCTGCCTAGCAATTCCTCGCACACACACTCGAATAGGCCCTCTCGCACAGCCAGCCAGCTAGGCCAGC